TTGAGCCAAGAGTATCTAGTAGATCGAGTATTACTTGCACAGGGAGGGGCAAGAGCAGAGGGAGAGAAAAGGCCCAAATATCGGGAATTTTATATCACCTGCCATTTCTTTAAATTGTTTAAGATATTGAAGTCAAGGTTTTCATTCTCAATAAATGAAAACTGAATTGGCCATATAGACCCAATATCCAATTTGTATTGAGGCTAAGCTGTGTTACAGTAGAATATGAGATATTTTGGCCAAATCTTCCCTTTGAGGCCTAAATATTTATATTGTCCTAGGAGACACCCCTGGGATGTTTCCACTGAGGGAATAGAAGGGCCCATTCCCATATCTCAGATGTCCTTCCCCTGCCTGGGTCAAAAGAGGGTATCTCCTATTTTCCAAAACCCAGGTTATAGAAATAGAAGATTCTCTGAGAGGTCAGGCATCCCCTGGTCCTCTTAGAGACTCAATGTCCCCCACACATACACCCCAGGTCTGGAAGCTTGAACCAGAGCCCAGTGCTGGAACTGAAAATGAAAATCCTGGGTAAGCCAGAGCAAAGTGAAGGAAGTGAAGGGATGTGAGAACTTAGAGGCCCGGAGCAGGCCAAGGGGAGTCCTGTCTGAAGGTGTCCAGGAGCTCTCCTCACCCTCAGTGGAGGCAGACAAAATCCTCTAAATTGTCCAACAGACAGGTCAACGAGTCAGGTCTGGGCAACGCTGGACCAAGTTCTGAAGGGACTGGGGTGGTTAGGCCAGGCCACTAACCAGATAGCCATTCCCATGTATTTGGCACCAGATGAAAGATGTTTGGCAGTGTACCCAGAGATGAGACCAGGAGAGGTTCCAGGCAAGTATAATGAAAGGGAACTAAGAGTCACCTGGGCAAAGATAGCTGCTGCACCAAGAGTGATTGGGGGCTTGCTTTTATGCTGGGTGTAGGGGAAGAGAGATTCCACAGGTTGCTGGAAGGTTTGGTGGTCTAGGGTCTTTGTAGTGGAACTCTTGGAGCAGGGCCAGATAGGCCTGTTTGTTCTGGGAAGGGAGATGGAGGAAGAGTTTAGGCCCCTAACACGTACATCATCTTAGATCTATAAGCATTGAAGTTAGCAATATCATATTACCTAATTGAAAGAGTAATGTGTAATTAAATACAGGCTGGTTATATAAATGATAGGCTGAGATCAGAGTATTTCCTTGGGCATCAGAAAAAGCATTACCCCTCTGTCTATACTTTGGGCTGATTCCCTTTTTACTGAATCCTACATTTTATTCCCCAAAGGACAGGGCTGACCTGATGACTTATCATTACAGATAAATGTTTCAGGCTTCCTTCTCCCCCACCCCCACCTTTTTTTCTGCTTTTAGGATCAGTATAAATGAAGTTCGACAAGTCTATTAAACACTGTTGCCAATAATGTTTGGGAATGATTTAAAATATAATGCAGGGTTTATTAAAGAAATTCATTACCAGCAAAAGCATCATTGAAATAGAAATTTTAATGATTCTGTGTAAGAGATTGGTAGAAATTTTAATAGTTGGAGTATTTTCTCATACTTTTCATTTCTCCTTGAAGTCAGTAGGGGGGTTCAGGCACATAATTATTATGTGATCCTGTGCAGGCAAACCAGAGAACCTGGAACCCTCACACACTAATGGTGGTGCTGTAAAACACTTCAGACCCTGTGGAAAACAGTCTGGCAGTTCCTCAAAAGGATAATCCATACATTTACCAAATAACCAATAACTTCCAAGTTCCACTCCTAGGTTTGTTCCTGAGAGAATTGAAAACATATGTCCACATAAAAACTTGTAAATGAATGTTCATAATAGCATTATTCACAATAGTAAAAGAAGTGGAAACGATTCAAATGCCTTCAACTGATGAATGCATAAGGAAAATGTGGGCCATCCGTACCATGGAATATTATTCAGCCTTGAAAAGGAATGAAATTATGGTACATGCTACATCATGAATAAACCTTGAAAACATTATGTCAAATGAAAAAAGCCACCCACAAAAGACTATAGATTGTATCATTTCATTTAAATGAAATATTTAGAATAGACTAATCTATAGATAGAAAGTAGATCAGTGGTTTCCAAGGGACATGAGAGAAACTGGAGAGGGTCTACTAACGGGGATGGATATTTCCTTTAGAGGTCATGAAGGTATTCTAAAATTGATTACAGTGGTGGTTCTACAACTCTGTGGATGTGATTAATAACTACTGAATTGTATACTTTAAGTAGGTAAATTGTTTGGTATGGGAATTATATCTCAATAAAGCTGTTATACTTATAAATAAAATAAAAAGCATGCCAGAGCCTATCTCCCAGAGAGCCACCAGCACCAGCAATTACTATCTACACTATATGGAAGCTACAGGCTAAAGAAGAACGCATGTTACTGGAAAGAAGTGTTAGCAATTTCCTACTTGTGCATAAAGCCAGATATTTGATACTGTAGCTAAAATAATACAAAACCCATTAGAAATAAAAGTTGAAGACAAACATTTGAATTACCGTCCCAATTACTCCCTGTTCTAACTGCTACCCTGTCTGCAGCCAGGCCATAATAAGGCTTTTTGGATTCTCTAACTCCCAGTGTCTAGACTATCTATTTCCATCAAAATTAAAGCAACTTTCAGGTTTTTTTTTTTTTTTAAAGAACAAGTTGAGTCATAACTTTCTTGAAAGCAGACAGTAACTATAAGAGTTCAAGTTTTTTTCCTCTTGTAAAATCCCTGTAATTATCTTTGATTTGCACAAAACATGCCTACTAGCCATTCAGTAACTCTGAATAGTAAAACGCATCTGGCTTCAGGAGGCTCCTCCCCTTTTCTCCCCAGCATTTTTGGCTGGGAGGCAGGGGGTTAGACAGCAGCACGTTCTCATTCTGCCTTTCTTACCTGCCAGCGGGATCTGTGTACTAGGTGTCTCCTGACTTGGAGCGACCCTTGTCCCTTGCCATAGGGAAGCATTCTGCATCACTGTCTTGGACAATGAGGAAGAAGATTCTTTGTAACTGTGTTTACCACTCCTGCGCCATTTGCTTACTTCCAGCATAACTCTCTTGCTCACAGGTTGCAACTCAGCGGTCTTATTTTTGCACTGTAGGTTTGGGAGGGAGATGGATGTTAGGGAGAGACTGAATTCATTTTTGTTTTGTTCTTGGCAGGCAGTACATGCCACACTACTACCCTTCCTGCTCTTGTGCGCACACCTACCCTGATGATGCAGCCTTCACTGGATATCAAACCATTTATGTCTTTTCCAGTGGACAGTAGTTCTGCTGTTGGGCTCTTTCCAAATTTTAACACAGTGAGTAAATGCATTTTCGTTTTATTTGTGCTCTCCTCAACCTCTCATTGCATTTGTGAATAGGCGATAGATGTATCCTATTTCCAAAGTGTGTGATTTTAAACCATACATTGGTTATACTGCTCAGCTGTGCTACGGAAGACGCTGCTTTACCCGTGGGAGTTAGTCCGAACAATAGCCATTGTGTTTATCTTATCCATATTTCCTCAATGACTTTTCACCTGTTCTCTTGCACAATTTGGATAGACTGTTAGTGGCTTTAGAACGTTATCAGTTCTGGGATGCTGTTCACATGCTCAAGAACATAATTTAGAGACACCAAGCCACATCAAGTTTTCCCTTCTACTAAAAACAACAAAAAGGACTATAAGCTTTATCTGTCTGGGTGCGTTTTTATTTGGGAGATATTTCAAATAAAATGTGACTCTTATACAACAATTTTTCTTTAGGGACTATCCTGGATTATGTGAATCTTACTCTATTAGCAATAGGAAAACATATTTTTGATATTTATCTGCATGGCATTTTGACATTCCTTTTAAAGCATGATAAATAATAGTGAAGTACTATAATTATGAATGTTCTTCATTCAGGTCACCTGACCTTTTATTTGAATGAAAGACATTTTGTAGGGGATCAAGTGGAGCATGACATCCTTCAGCAATAGAATTCAGCATAAAATCAGTCTGTAGGCGGGTACTAAATTTACAGTAAGAGAAGAGGGTCATGTGATTGCAGGAATTATGTCTGTTTGGTTGATAAATGTAGTCAATTGGGATGTGATGGTCTACAAGAATGACACAGTATTATAAATGCTGCTGTAATAAAAAAGAATGTATTATCAACACCACCAGACAGGCAGCATCTGAAATACTGCCAAATGTTTGCTTTGCAAAGTTATCTTCTGTATGAAGTGAAAACAGCGAGAGGATTTTTTTCCTTAAGGGTTGTAAATAAAATCTGCTGACAGGCCTTCTGTCAGGGCTTCATGTTGTAAGGTAATTAGTGGGGAGGGGATCAGCCAACTTTGTATAGAGCCCTGGCCTTGTCTTAGTGAGTAAACAGTTGAATGTTTTTGTCTTCTTTACATTTTTCAGAGACAAGTCAAATAGTAAAAAACAAAAACAAACAAAAAAAAAGGTGAGCTTTGTTTCTGGAGCAGTGGAGCAGCTCAGTAGGATAAATCACGCCTGCCTGGATTCCATTAATCCTTCAAGAGTCACCTCCCAAAGCAGCACATTATGCCATCTCAGCTTGAACTCACATACTTATTGTAGCCTCTGTTGAAACATGTGTCATTGCAAACATGATTGAATTAAGATATATTTCTTAGAACATTTATTAGGTATTTGTGTTTTGATTAATATGCCAATTAATGTTTTTGGGAGACAACATTTAAGCCATTGGTGACGTCTAGCTGCCGTGAGGAAGCAGTGTTGATGATATGGATAGGCATAAATGAGTCTCCGTTGGTTCGCCTGTTTTTATTTATTTTAAACACAGGTAACACATGAATGCTTATTTCAAATATTCAAATAAAATATTATTAGCCTTCAAGGCAAAATGAGAAAGTCCCTGTTCCCTACCCTGGCACACACTCTTCGTCTCTTCGCTGGAGGAAAGTGCTGGCAGCAGCTGGTGTCCTTCCTTCCACCCCCTCAGGAGGTATGTTGTACACTTACCTAATAGGTACTATTGTCTTCTTACAGCTTCCATCACATCATCAGCACTAGTCTCTAAGTCACTTTTTTTAGCTATTAAAATGTCTTACACATGCCATTTCTGTTTTTAAGAGCTATAAAATAAAAAATGGAGTGAATACTTTCATGAAGTGAATACTTTGCATTTGTGAATAGGCGAGAGATGTATCCTATTTCCAAAGTGTGTGATTTTAAACCATACATTGGTTATACTGCTCAGCTGTGCTACGGAAGACGCTGCTTTACCCGCGGGAGTCAAGCCGAAAAATACCCAGAGTGTTTATCTTATCCATATTTCCTCAATGACTTTTCACCTGTTCTCTTGCACAATTTGGATAGACTGGTGCAGAAGCCCTAACCTGCCTTTTTGTTTAATTGTACATGACCATTATGTTTATGATATATTTGAGAAAGCCCAAATAGTAATTCTATTATTAGAAATACTTTTTTTCTTCCTTTGTAAGAAAATAGACTTATAATTTTCAAATATAAATACTATTTGATCAAGGGGAAGAATATTGCAAAGAACGAGGTGAAATACTTTTCTTACTCTCTCGATAGTATATGCAGGGGACATTTATAAGGCAGAGAATCAGTCTGGTAATGTATTAAAAATTAAGTTATTCCAAGTGGGACCCTCTCTCATCTTATAAGAAATGAATTTATAGGATAATTGCGTGACCTATGATTTTTCACTAGGAGTTGCAAATTTAAGTAGGCTAATCCTTTTCCTATAGGCTTCTCCATTCCAGTGTTCAACTCACCCAATAGATTACCTAGGGAATTTTTATAAAAGTCATTGTCCGTGTTTACAAAGGAAAACACTAGTACATCACTAATACTAATTACACTAGATTATTGTATATTTGTGATGTTTTACATCATTCAAAGGACTCAAGACTTCAGAACATTTTGGTAAGCCTTGATTATTACTCCTATTGTCCAGAGAAGGAATGGGAGTTATTAAAGGAAGAACTGAAACTTGAATTAGAATCTTCTCACTTCAGAACTCATGTTCTGGCTCTCTGCATCCTTGGCTTCTTTGGCCCATGATGCCTCCTACTTCATTCACTGTGAACAAAGCTCAATCAGAATTCTTTTGTGTTCTTTTCTGAAAACATGGTAGACAATTTTCAGTAGAATCATTAAGTAGGAAGAGGAAAGATTCTTTTTTTAATGTGTAAAATAGGCCTCTACAAACAACAACTATGAAGCAGAGTATATTTGAGAAACAGCTATAATTTCTTATGGACAAATTTTAAAAGTATGTTGTACTCAGTAGTCTACTTGTTCTTTGAAAACCAGGTAAATTTTACTGTATCCACTTATTTTTAACAAAAGCTACTATTAGTAAATATAAGAAATGAGGTCACTTGTAATCTCATAATTATTGTCAGATAAGAAAAACACTATGCTCTAAGACCATAGTGAAAGTTTGGGTGGTTTGATATTTTACTGTTTTCTTCAATTATATTTTTAAAAATATATCAAGTGATCACATACTCCTTACTTAATAATTGAGTATGATAACATTCCATGATAAGGAAGATGGAGTTTGGGTCACTGACAATTTGTGATGGTCTATAGGTCAAGGATGCACAACTGGAGAATGATGATGTTAACTCTGTGCTTCAGCAGTTGTGCTGTTTGGAGTCATGTATAGCTAGCTAGGAGAATGTACTAACCCAGACATAAAATGTTAAAGCCCTCAACCTTTCTATCTGAAACCTAATAGGCTGCTGTGCCTGACTACCCACTAGTCTCACTTCTCCACTGCTACCTACCTTCAACTGTATCAGTCATTCAGGACTTAACTTGGGTATCACCTCCTTCACAGGAGGTCTTCTATGACTCTTCAAGTCTGAATTAAGTCCTGTCCTCTGTGTGTCCAAAGCAGCCCCAGAACACCTTAATTACAACAGCTATCACAATAATTGCTTGATTATCTGACCTCTCCAGCACGTCAGATCTTTGAGGGCAAGAGCTGTATCTTGTTCATCTTAATAGGTCAAATGTCTAGTATGAGTGCTCAATAAAACTTTTTTGAAGGAAGAAAGAGAGGAAGGGAGAAAAAATCAGAAAAGGGCTCCATACTTTTATTTTTAACATTCATTCTCCTCTATCCAGCAAAGAAAGACTAGTATTTCTGATTCACTTCTAAGCATTCAGTGATAAGCCCAGGTGTGTACATTTATGCTTACTTTCCTAAAGACTATTATTACTTTGTACTTATTTTTTTGAGACAGAGTCTCACTATTTCGCCTTTGGTAGAATGCTGTGGTATCACATCTCACAGCAACCACAAACTCTTAGGCTTAAGCAATTCTCTTTGCCTCAGCCTCCCAAGTAGCTGGGACTACAGGCACCCACCACAACGCCTGGCTATTTTTTTGTT